TCTTGACAAATTTTGAACAAAAAACTAGCTCTAGACCCATCGCCGTGTTTGACACCTTTAAGTAGCCGGCCCACGCGAACCACCACTCAAAAGCCTTGATCCTCTATTTGCTCACACCGACCAACTCAAGCTTTCCTACTTTCAAAAAACAACATGGGAATGGAACTGCCTTACATGTGATGAACGAATGGCCTTTCGAAACAACCTTCTTTGCCCTTTACTCTTTCAGTTTTGCAATTGCTATTTATTCATACTTGTATTTATTTTGTTGGTATCTGTAGTACCCATCCTGCTTGGATCTTGCGCCTGCAGTATTGAATAAATGAATAAGTAACTATATTTTTAACATTGACTAGATACTTTTTAGTACAACCAGAATCGAAACACGCAACAAAACATGGGCACTTTTTGACCAAGAATTTTCAGAAAAAATGAGCTGCCAAGGGGTTGGGTGATAAGCGTGAAATGCTCCTCTTGGCATCGGCGTTAAAGGGGCATACACGACGAGACGCAAGGGATCAAGCGACGCTTGATATTTTCGCCCAAGTCCCCACGCGTCCCAAGTCACCACGCTTTCGCCCAAGTCACGGCGGTGCGGCCGCAATGACTCCGAATGCCATGCCGAGTAACCGCCGCTCAAAACCCACCACCGTATACTGGGTGCAAGCACGCAAACTACTCCAAGCATTTCTAAATGACCACTGTTTGATCTAAAATGAGAACAACGTGGAGAACGACTCCGAATGCTATCAGCGGGACGCGGTTTCGTGTCGAGTTGGAGCGACGCCGACAAATCCAGCTAATGCCAGCCTGCTGCACGTGCATCGCGGTCTTGAGTATGATCGTCAGCCGGGCGAAAATGTCTTATGTACTACTGCAGCGTCTCGGCGTTCCTATACTTTGATCATTGGTTGTCTGTTCTAGAACGAGGGAAACATCCTTCGGAGGCTGGAAGGTTTGAACGTGAGCCCTCACATACCGCGAAGTCAATTCAGATCGGTGTCGTCTGCATTCCGCATAGGCGTCTACCGTCGAGTTTGTGTACACCAACTCATGTGGAGAACATTAGTGGAAAAAAAAATTTACATTAGTTCCGTCGCAACGTATACACTATGTATTACGCCCGAGACATAGCGATCTATCTCACAACGTTTATTCGCTGTGCACTGATGTTTTCAACATCGGTATTCATCTCCACCAAAAACGAAACTTGCACTTGCCAACACATTTCGGTCATTTTACAACACATCTAAATAGGTGAAATGGCTGATTTCATCATGCTGAAACATTCGCTGATACCGGTGCAAAACGCCTGCGTGTGTTAGTATGCTAACAACAAGCGTGCACTGGTTGGCACCACTGTGCGGTGAGTTCGTGCGGAATACCAGTGACGCTGACACATTCAGCTATCAGCGCTCTTATTTCCATTCATGTATAAAATATAAACTTGAACGTGCGCTGCTGTGGTCATCGGAAAAGAAAGTCGCAAGGTTAAGTGCTTCTCGGGTGGCCCGCTATTTGACTTCGCCAAATCCAGCACAACCCGAGCAGCACTTAAGCTTGCACCTTTCTTTTCCTATGACTTGTTCTTCACTGCTATGCTCGGTAGCACATACCTGTTTGGCAGCGCCCCATATGCAACCACAGATACTCACGAGACCATCCAGAACAATGCATGTATTACACTGTTCCTCCAGAATAATTTTGCTGAAGAAATTATTAGATAGTTTCTAACAATAAATTTTTGCATGTGTTTCAAGGGATGTTTCATTGCTGTTCAGCTTGTACATGCGTTAACTTGCACAATGCATCCACTCAAGCATATTTCAAATATCAAGATATTTAGTTGAGCTGGGTGAAAAAAAAACTTGGCAAAGGCTTGTATACAGTGCCATGGGGCTTTTCTATAACCGACATTTGTAGCATCATAAAGTTTCAGGCATGCTCTAATATGGTATAGGGTATTTTCACTACTGACAACTTGCAAAAGTTTTTTAAGCAGTACCTTGGCTGCAATCTCTAAACCAATATCTGTTGCATCAAGCAGTCTCAGATGCAAATTCTACATGCTAAAGAATATTAAAACTACCAATAAAGTGCAAAAGTCTTTAACGCAGCACTAATATTCAATTACAATCTAATTTTGACTCATTTTTTTGTATTCACTCACGTGTTCAAATACAGTTTTTTTTTGCTCAAGTTATCGAAAACTGGAAGCATCTGCCTAGTTTTGTTCTTGAAAAAAGTGTGTCATACTTTTTGGAGGCAGTTGTATGCTACTGTTCTATTTCTCTCATTTTCACCCACCTGTAATCAGGAGGTAGTGATATTTTCTTATGTTGGCAGGCTTATTATGGTGTTACTGTCTGAATGCTTTGATTTTGTATTTATGTACAACACCCCTGCTGTAGCCCTGCATTTGGCTGCAGTATTCATAAATAAATGGAGATAATATTCCAAAGCATTGCACGCAGTGCTCGCTTTCAATCTTGTGTGAGTGATATCTGTTGCATCATGAATCGGGTGTGGTTTGCTCCATTAGCGAATGTTTTAGCTGCAGACAACGTTCAGAAGCCTTCAGCGTTTCGTTGCAATCTTATGACTGATATCTGTCTCTTTATGAGATGTGTGGTGTGGTTTGTCACTCTAGAGAACATTTGGCCTACGGGCAACGTCCAGACGTCTTTCATTGAGGAATGAGTTGCAGGTTTTATGATGAATATCTGCTACATCATAGAATTTCAGGCGCAGTTCTTCGTGTTAGAACGTAACTCGAGTGCAGACAACTGCCCACGCAATAGCTGGTTCCTATCTTATAACCAATATGGGTCGCGTAATGAAGAGCTAGATGTGGCTTATGTCACGAGAAAGATATTTCCAACACAAATCATCCGAAAAAATTTTACAAAGGCCTCAGTTGCAGTCTTATCACATAAATCTGTCATATCATGAAGTGCTGGGCACGGTTTGATTGCATGATAGAATACTTTGGCTGCAGAAAAAGCTCAAAACTCTTTCATACAGGGTTCAGTTGCAATCTTACGACCAATAGATTTCTGACTTCATGAAGTGTTGCGTACGGTCTGTTTCTTTAGGAAACATTACAACTACAGACAACGCCCAGAGTTTTTCCACGCAGGACTCAGTTGCGGTCTTACTGACCAATATTTTTCACACCATGAAGTGTCAGCCAAAGAGAGTTATGTCAGAGCGTATCTCAATTATAGACAATGCCCAAAAAGCATTCTACACAGTACTTGTTTCCATATAGTGAACTATATCTCTTGCATCATTATGATCCAGATGAGTCTTATGGCATGAGAGGATATTTCTAACTCACAAATAACCCAAAAACCTTCCACAAAGGGCTAAATTGCAGCCTTATGACCTAATTTTCTCACATTCTGAAGTTTAGAGTGCAGTTTGTCGCTTCGAGAATATTTTGACTACAGATGACGTCCACACTTTTTCTATGAAGTATTCAGTAGCAGTATTATGACCAATATAAGTAACATCATGAAGTGCCAAGCACAGTTAGTTGTGTTAAAACATATCTCGACTACCGACAATGCATAAACGCACTCTACACAGTGCTTCGTTCTAGTATTATGATCAATATCTGTTGCATCAAGACAAAACAAGTGTGGGTCATTGCATTAGATGAAATTTCAAACACATAAATTATCAAAAAGCCTTCTACACAGGGCTCAACTGCAGTCTTTTGACCAGAAGTCGGGTTACATCATGAAGTGCCGAGTGCGGTCTGTTGCGCAAAAGATTATTTTGGCTGGAAACAACATTCTAAATCTTTCATACAGCGTTCCGTTGCAATATATGACCAATATCTGCGATTTCATAAAGTGTTGTGGGGGGGGGGGGGGTTGTTGCTTAGTGAATATTCAGATAAAGAAAACGTCCGAAATTCCATGCAGCTAGGATCAGTTGCAGCCTTACGACCAATATCATAAAGAGTCAGGCATGATTATTCGCGTTTGAGCGTATTTCGACTACTGACTGATGCTCTAAAGCAGTCTACGCAGTGGTTGGTTCTAAGATTTCGGGCAATATTTCTTGCATTATTTGGAGCCAGGTGTGCTTTTCGCTATGGAGGATATTTCTAGCACAGATATGCTCTTTTTCTGGTGCATAGCACTGCAAGTGCTTTGGTCATTCCGGTATCAATTCTAAAATATTCAAAATTGTGGTAGGCAAAGCACAATCAGTAGTTTAATGAGCTCTTATACCTTCAAAAGTGTACTAACTTGCTCCAGTGAAAAACATGCTGTTATGTGCTGAAGTTGGTTAGCTTAAAGCCAATTGATCAAGCAACGCTGTGCGTCAGCCTTCAATACCGGAGGTTGCAGGGCGTTTTCCTCCATCAGCGCGAGTCGTGTTTGACGGGTAGGCGCGTGCGTACGCCTGCCATGGACTGGCCCTTTACTCCACGGCAAGCTTTCTAAGGAATATTAGGCAGTGGGGTGAAAATACTCGCCTATCTTATTATCTTTCCTTCATAAATTATTTTCGAAATAAAGAAGAAGAAATGCTTCACTTCGTTAGTTCAAGAAAAGTGGGTGGCCGATTCATTTTGTGGCACCATTTTAGCACTTTGTGGGGACAAGATAAAGGACAAAATGACAAGAGGACATTGTCTTGCCCTCCATGCAGCAGCTACAGAGCATTAACCCCTTCAGCGGTGGTGGCTACGCTTGGGACCGAATGAGAGCAAGATGCATTGATTATTCGATGTGCCGAACCCTTTGCGTTGTCATTATGACGTAATTTAACCTCAGTTTGCTGCGTACGAGTGTAGCCTGATAACTTTTGCGAAGGTGCTGCGATGTGCGACGGGTAGTTTGATGCACCGCTTCGCACAACCAAAGGGTAAAGTACGACTTTTAGGATTTTCGACGTGAGTGAAACTGAATCAAAACTGCGCACGCTCTTGTAGCAAATTTGCAGTGAATAGTTTGACTACACCATTTTATATTGATTCTCACCTCCATGGTTACAGGTGTGCACCATCTTGAGTCGTATGGAACACGAGAGTTGCAATAAGTTGGGGCAATCGTGAAAATCAGCTCGAAGAACGCATCGACCTCCTCCTGGAGAAGAACATAAGCCATTAGAAGACCACATTTTGACGCAATACTGTTAAAGAGATTGTTTCACAGTAATTCTAGTGTAAGTGTCGGCGTCGTTATTCGTGAGCGAAAAATCATCATCTTGTGCATGACAGAAAATTTGAGAAAGACGAAAATAAAGTAAATAAGAAAAACACTTCATCTGACTGTGGAAAATGTGATTATCTCAACTTCATGGTTTAAAACAGCTCACCCACTACAAAAAGCACACACCTTACCGCGCCTTTTCTGATGAGGCCACGTATTGAGTGCATAGCAAGTTCAAAAAGATTTCAGGCACACAATCACCCGTAGTTTAAAGCATGCTTCCGATTACACGATTGTAGCAGTGTGCCAAAGCTTCACAGACACAAGCCAATTTGAACAGATAGCGCACTCTGAGGACATGATATTGCTATCACTGTTCAAATCCTAAAGGTGAAGCTCGAGGACCTTCATTTTTTAAACGGCTTGGCCTTGAATTGACGCGTCGTGAAAAGGCGCACCCACCTAAACTCATCTATTTCTCGACGCCCACCCTCTGCGAGTGTAAGGCGGTGCCGATCGCTGCCATGACAGTTAGTGTGGTGTCATGTTTTTGCCGGAAGGCCTCATATGTCACGCAGTTCATGTGCGGTGTTGCAATTGACCCAAAGGTATCCCCTTATTTCAATGAAAAGGTGACTTTGGCATTTCCCGTGCACAGCATGATTGCTGATGTAAACAGGCACGCAAACACATAAAAGAACACTTTCAGAAAACTTCCTCAAAGGCGACTCTAGCCCACACTTTTTCCCTCCGAAAAGAAAGTACACTGCGTACAGCGCCTGACTTTTAATTAAAACTCCCATGGTTTGTTTGATTCTACCTAGATTGAGATTGCTTGTCAGTTTATTTAGTTTTCAAACTTTTTTCTGCAAGCCAGGGGCGTGCTTGAGGTTTTAAGATTTTGTACTGAAGTGTATCTAGTGCCCGATTGTCGTTCAGGGCAATTCATTCCCACGAAACATTTCATTTCATACCCTTTCCGTTGCATCAATACGTTAGAAAAAAATAGACTTGAAATCAAAGTATTGAATCCATGGTCGGTACATCGCTGTGCACGTATGCCTTCCGTGGAGTTCTGTCTTTTTGCGCTGTTAAATAGCCGTCAGGCAGTGCAGGCAAGTAACTTTATTTTGATCCAGAGACGACGCTGACTCCGCCCTTCGGGCGCGAAATCGGCGGGCCGCACCCACGCAGGTATGGGAAGATGCATCTCTTAGGCCATGTCGTAGGATCTCTCGATAGCCCCTAAATGGTCTTCTATGTCATTGCTAGTGCGAAGAGATAGCTGGTCTTCCTCAGTTGAGGGAGACCCGAGGCTCTCACGGAGTGCCGGACATTGCCTCAGCATGAGTTCTGAAGTACAACATGAGTTACCACAGTGCGGGCAGCCTGGCTCTGCGCCATCTACGTATTTAGAACATTTAAGCGGAGAAGCGCAAACATCAGTCTGTAGTTGACCCAGTTTGATAGACCGAGCTCTGTTCAGGGCAATAACGTGCAAATTACATAGACCACAGAAATTGAACGCGGAACCGCATGAACTGAAAGCAGATAAAAACCCACTGCAATGCAGCGCCATTGCTTGAGTTGGCTTATTTGCTGCGATTTATATTAACAAAACGGTTTTGTAAATTCTCAAAAGGCCACACGTTTATCATTTCGCTTGCAACATGACAGACGACGAGTTGAGCAGAGACGATGGAGCCTAATGTGCTAACGAGTTCATGATGCAGCGAAAAGTATTTACTGAATTTATGCATGCGCTGTACGCGCTGATGATGAAAGAACACAAGTTACAAGCTTCGCCACTTTTCCTAAATCATTTTGTAAACACATAATTTAAAGAAAACTTTGTGGAGCATATGGTGCATGTTTCTTTGGTGTTTGCTCGAGATGCTTGTGGCGAGTGGTTCCATTCCAGTGTTGTGTGTGATTTGCATATGAGTCTATGCATTGATATCAGTTTTATCGTTAACCCAGCTAACATTCAACGATTTTCAGCCGTGAAACGCTGTTACAGAAAACCTTGTTATTTTTTTCGCAGCCGCTTTAGGGCCTTCTATGGACAGGATGCCTCGCCTGAGCACTGCAGGCTGTATCAACTAGACTCTTGCGAAAGCCACGTTTGGGCAATTGTGTTCCTTCCTCTGGGAACCCTCTACGGAGTCCAACATTACGGATTGTATTGAAGAGGCAGTAATTTTAACAGAATTTCTGCCTGTGGGCATAGATTCGAACGACAATTCGGCTATACACAGTAAAAATTTTCACACCTAGAAGGGTGTAAATGAGCTTGTCCCATGGACGACACCCCAAGGGTGTTAATTCAGCACCTTCAAAAAAGGGTTCTTTGTCATGCACCCTTAGAATAGGGTGTACATGTAAAGAAACTGTAGGGTGTTACAAAAACACCCTTAAAGAAGGGTGCCTTCAATGTCCTTCACTTTTTAGAACCCACTGAGGAGGGTGCGAGAAGGGTGCACGAGGGTGTTTATTGGCCATGGCAGGGGTGCCAGTATTGTTTTAGACTGCACTAATAGATATCAGCATGCACTGATTACACACTACTTGAAGAAAGTGGTGCTGATTATCAAAGGTGCACCACCTGTCGAGATCCATTTATTGCGTGTGGGCAAAAATATAAACACGTACAATCGTGTATGAACTTCTGCTAGATCTATATATACTTCACAGTATATGCATAATGCGCGTTACAGAAAACTAAGCTTTGCTGCCCTTGCATAATGCATTTATTTATTAGGCAAATAAAACTTATAAACGTTTCTCCTGCCACACAAATTTGTCACCAGGTGTGTAATATGTTGACGTATACGTACACTACACACGCAGCACCTCAAATGTTAATTGTATTTTTTAAGTTTCACTTTATTGACAATTCTTTGAAACATACAATTACACTGGTTTCAGTTTAGTATACTGCTTCAAGTACATAGAAACTACAAATGAAGTACACGCTAATATATCTCTATAATTTTTTTAAGTATCTACAATTCCCAGTGGTTTCCAGTTTAATACTTCTTTATTAACACAACCGGTTAATAGGAATGAAATACAGTGAAATATATACTTATGATTCTTTCAAGTATATACAATCACCACAATTTCACTATATATGCCTTCATGCACACAATCGTTCCCAAGCAGTGATGCACACGAAAATATATACCGATGTTTCCAAATGTATACAATCACTGTGGTATAAGCTTTGTCTTCTTGGATGTATAACAATTGGGTAAAAGAAATGATGTACATGCAAACATATATGGGTTTCACACATATAACTTTAGCGAATACTTAAAAAAACCAATACAATGATCAGAAACAAAATAAGCTAAAAACAAACACAAAACTGTATCAGGACACAAAAAACAAAAGAGGTAATGCATATTTATGGCTAATGACACAGCTGAGTCATTTTATGCCAAATGTCCCAGCTACTTTGGCAACCATCTCAATTGTATTAAAAAAACTCGTGGTGCATTCAAAATAGAGAACTTCTGGAATATTTAGGAGCAGAAAACTATTTGGTCACGTGGCTGCCTTCTGAACTTTCTGGAATACCGTCTAGGTGTTGTATGTGAAAAATGTTGTTTTTTAAAGCACCGCTATTCTTTCTATACGAAACTCGGTCTGCGTGTTACGTAACAAGATTTTAATTTGGGCGAGTTGGTTCATCGTGGTTCTGTGCTAGTCACAGCGCGATCAACTTCATGAAGAAACAGAAAGGACAGGAAAGAGCACCGACTGTTAACTGAATTTAATAAATGTGCCACGAGCGCTTTCATACGGAGTACAAGAACAGTGCTCATGCGCGACAACACGTGTGAGCACTACAAAATAATCTTAACTGAAAAAAGAATACTCCCTCTCGTAAAGGATAAGTGATCGTGTAGTGATGCACTGATTATTGGTCTTCCTGGAAAAAAATACTTCTACAAACTTTAAATTGGCATTAAGTTAACCTATTCTCATGCCGAATGGTGGGAGATTGACTATTCCTGTTGCTGTTTAGTACACACACTTTTGCAAGCTTGCAAGGGGTAGAAAACAACACGTTAATATCATAACTGCTGGCTATTTTTTTAATTGTGAGACACGTTATGTGGTATAACATGCAAAGGTTTTGGTCATTGTTTTTTTTTGTTGGTCCTGTCTTCTTTAACTTTACTTTCTGCAGAAGGGTTTCGCAAACGGGTGTGATGATTCTGTTAGGATAATCAGCATCGTTTAGTCTTTTATTCTAGTTTTTAAGCCTGACCTCACCCTTTCGCTAACATGACTTCTGAAGGGTGGCCTGAATACATGTGGTGTCAATTCCTCTTTTTACTAATTTTGAATGCCCACTATAAAAGGCAGAACATTCTTAGCACTCCTGGGCTAATAGCACCAGCCAATACAACAACATCATCATCACACTCGTTTGCGAAACCCTTCTGCAGAAAGTAAAGTTAAAGAAAACAGGACCAAATGAAAAACAGAATGACCAATGACATTTGCATGTCACACGGTAGTACGTACATAAGGTGTCTCACAATTTTAGGAAAAGAACCAGCAGATATGATATTGTTGTTTTCCGCCCCTTGCAAGCTTTCAAAAGTGTATGTACTTACAGCAACAGGAATACTCAATCTTGCACCATTCGTCACTAGAATAGGTTTACTGAATGCCAATCTAATGCGTATGAGATACCGCTAACATGTGGAAAAGTAAACATAGTACAAACTGGGCAATGCTTCAATGATCGAGCAAGACAGGATGCTTTATATGTTAAGAAGGGCTTTAGTAGCCTCATGGCCGGACACCGTAAAGAATGTAGGTGCAGTCCTAGGTTTCATAAAACACGGTTTTTGAAAAAAAAAGCAAGCAGAAAAAATAAGAGATTTTAGAACTTTTTATCACGAAGGCCAAGGATCAATGCATCAGTACACCTTCACTTATGTTTTCCGAAAAAGAGTGTTCTTTTCTCGTTTAAAACTATTCTGTCATGGTTACACATGTGTTGTTGCAGATGAGCC